GGGGGGCCGGAGGGGGAAAGGAGAGGGGGAAGTGGAGGGGCTGCAGCCCTTCGCCTCGCATCCCTCCGGCTGGCTCTGGATTTTAAAACAATAAAATCCAGCGCTGCTGCTCTCCCGGGTGCCCCCCGCTCCCCCCCTCCGCCGCGCCGCAGCCGCCCGTGGAAATCGCACGCCCCACGTCTGCAGTGAGGCAGGGCAGACTGCCTGGCTCATGCCCGTGATGACTTTAGAGCTGACAACCTCCTCTCCTCGACCCCCCCCTTCCCCTCCACACCCACCCCTCCGCTCAATGGCAGCACTGCTGCCTCTCGCACCAGACTATATTTGCAATATGTGCTAATTTACCAGCTATATGCCCTTGGATTTTAAAATGAACTCATCAGTCAATGTTTCTAGTGCCGATGCTCGCTCTCCCTCTCCCTCACACACACCCTCCACTGCAGACATGTTACTCATTCTCCAAGCATTTCCTCTCCCAATGTCCGTCAGACGCATATACACTTCATTGATCAAACCAAATCCCCTGATAACAATAAATAATAATACAGACAGTTAACATCAGCGGGGAGCAGAGCGGGGAGGCAGCGGGGGGAGAGACAAAGATGACGACTAAATCTGCATTGTGCCTTAGGAGGCTGAGCCCTGCGTTTTCCAGGGATGCTCCACACAATGTGGGGCGCAGGTACCCCCCGAGGGCGAGCACACACCTCGTCCCGGGGGCCTTCCTGAGACACCCCCCCCCCCCGGTTTGCCCGAGCGTTCAGGCTGGTGATCTCTAATCCCTGAATCCACACAGGCTCCAAAAGGTGCTTGTGGAGGAACAGAAGGTGCTTCTGGCTACGAAGCACCTACCACAAAATACAGCAATAAATAAAGGCGGTTTCTTTGTTATGCCGTGCACTGCAGAGACGCTGAGGAATTAAAGGTATCCGGGCATCCAAAGACCCTGGGATGGTCCAAAGGATTTTTAGGAACACCTTCTGAGCTCCCACTGAAATCTGTTTCCTTTGTACCGAAGACAGAGAGCACCTATGCAAGAAACCAGGTTAGGAAGACAGGCTATTAAACATCCCTCTGCTACACGTGCCGGGTGTCTCAAGGGCTTTAGGGCTTCTGGGGCTTTATTTCCGAGTTTTCTGGGGCTGAAACAGGGGAGGCAGGAGACTGGGATTGCCTCTTGGGATTTTGGCTAGTTAGACATCTTGTGTGGGTCTGGCAAAGGGAAAGTGGCTGCAGTGTAAGTGTTCGGGAAGTTGGGGAGGGTGGGGCTATCTAGAAATCTTTGACTCACTGGGGTAACTCCCTGAGCACAGGAATCAAATTATTGCTCAAAGCAAACTGCATTTTATGAGCAGCAGCCTCAGAGTGAAATTCTGCATGCACACAGCTAAAATAAACACATGGAAATGAATATACAATACATAATTAAATTATTGGGTGCAATGCAGAAGTCCCTGGGTGATGGAAGAGGTGGGATTATGCAGCAAAGTCAGTCTGGGAATCCACAGATACAAATTTTCTTATTTATACCAGCATAATCCTGATTGGCATCAGCCTAGATAGGGGAAGAATCCAACCCTGTGTACTGAAGGATCTAATCTTTGGGAAAAGTAGACTGGATTAGAGACTGTATCTGCCAACCATCCTTTCACTCCCTTCAGATTCTCTCACCACCACAGCAAGATTTTGCCATCACACAGAACATTTTGCATCCATTGTCTCCTTCCACTTCCCTTATCTTCCTTCCCCAAAAAATATTTGATTTTTTTTTTAAGTTTTGTAGCAAACACATAATTTCTTTATACAATTTTACCAAGCCTTCGGAGGATACTTATTTCAAGCAGTTAACACCTGACCCCAATTTTTGTGGGTAATTAGTGAGCTAGATAACCACACAAAGTGGGTAATTATTTAGTACCCAAGGGTACTGTACAAGAGGGTAGAGGCTGGCAGTGTTAACAAAAGCACATCTCTAATTATTGTATCCATACTGGTGATGTTTTAAGAACAGTTACTCCATCTAATGATCCATGATAAATCAGTAAACTATTTTGCTTCCCTTAGCATGTATCCAAGGGATGACCAAGGGCAGGATGTGAGGGCAAAGCAAATGGAAGCCCCGACTTCAACATGTTCAAGAGAAGCACGAGGCATCCACCTGGACAAGGAAGTAAGACTGGAAGTGCCTGCTCTAAAACAGCCTAATAACCATCCCTAAGAGGTAACAGGTTGGTTGGGATGGCTTGAAAAGCCATGTAGGAAGCTTGTAGGGCATGGCTCAGGGTCTGTTTCTTGCTTAGGAAACGTGGCCACGCTGATGGATCTTTGCATACAACCATAACCTTCATCATGTTTTAGCAGAGCTCACTCTTGCTCCCTGAAAATCAATTTAAAGCTGTACAAATGAGGTGTCTCGTGTTTGGGGCAGCTCAGAAATGCCAGAGAGTTGCACCGGGGGGTGAAAAAAAATCCTATTTGCTGAATTTCAATTCTCTGTCGCCTCCAACATTTATGTTGCAACAACCACATTTCTCCCATGGAAAATATTACATCCTTAGTTGAGTTTTTCCTCAAATTTAAGAAGGAAGAAATGTGAATTATATTGAAATAGAAACCAAATGAGAAAGATTCAGCTGTCAAACACATACAAATGTCTCCAAGGTGGGTGCCAAGAGGATGGTGCCAGACTCTTTTCGGGGGTGCCCAACAACAGGACGAGGAGCAACGGCCATAAAGGAAAACACAACAAGTTCCAGCCCAACATGGGGAAGAATTTAGGGTGGCAGAGCACTGGAACAGCTGCCCAGGAAGGGTGTGGAGTCTCCCTCTCTGGAGACATCCCAATCCCACCTGGACACGTTCCTGTGTCACCTGCTCCGGGTGACCCTGCCCTGGCAGGGGATTGGACTGAGTGACCCCAGAGGTCCCTTCCAACCCCGACTGTGTGAAAAAAATTTGGTTTACATCAGCAGAACCACAGGATAAGAAGTGTTCTGCTGGAAACAGAGCAGCACACACTCACTTTAGGGCATCTTCAAACCAAGATGTTACACTCAGAGAAAAAGCACTTTCCTTTTTTTAATTGCTTTTATGAATCATCACTGACATCCAGACACTTCATTTACTAGAGTCCAGTAACCCTGTTTTTCAAAGGCTCAAATTCCAAAACCTTGAGGGCCTCCAGGCTGGCACAAAAAAAAAAAAAAAACCAATACCAGAGGTGTCATTTTGGTTTGATCACAGCAATGAACTCAGTTTGGTGCTTTGGGATCACCCAAGCCAGGCACTCCAGAAGAAAACACAACTGGCAGCATCACCTGGCCCTGTGACCACCAGGAATGTAAAATCTAAACAGAGAAAGTTTGAGGGGTTTCCACAACTCCTCATATTTCTCTATTGTTTTGTGCTTGGGGTTTGTTTTTTTTGTTTTTTGTTTTTTTTTTTGAGTGAAATAACCACAACTGAAAGAGGCCCGAAAATTGTTCTCATGTTTAAAAAGGGGCCAAGTCTCTGCAGCTCATTTATAAATAAATAGAAATAAATTGGCCTCCCCCTCAGTGATCCTCTCAGGGACCTGGTTTGCAGGAAAAGTTCTTGCAGAAATGGAGTGAGAGGAAGTTTGCAGAGAGAAGCTGGAAAACAGAAAGGAAGAAGGAATTTAATCACAGAGATGGGATCAAAGCAAGAAGAGACCTTGGTAGGTGCACAGTTAGAGCAGAAAGTAGAGAATATACAAACTATTTTTTTTCTTTTTTTCTCAGATCAATTGGAATTAGCAATTCATAGGAGAAGGAATGTTCAGCCAGGGAGGAAGCTTTAGGGACTTAAGCATTAACTATAAAACCTTAAGGCCTTTCTGAGACAAGTCAATAACTTCACTCTGGGCAAACTACCCAGAGATTACTTAGGAAATATCTCCAAAATAACACTTATAGCTCAGCTATAGGGACAGAATACATGGGAATAGTTTACAATTTAATAAAATGTCTTCAGAGGAGTAAAAAGCATTTACTAATACAAACAAAGGATTCTAATGATGTGAGGAATGGTACAAATTCACAGTGTGGGGCACAGCCATGGAAAGCAAAACTGAGCAAAGGCATCATGACTTGGATATTTCCAGAACATCACTCTGTCAAGTGAGGAGCTTGACAACCAAAAGTTTCTAATTTGAACTCAACTGTTTTGCAGACCATTGGCCAATTCCATATCAAGTCAGTGATAAAATCACTTCTTACCTTGCTTGCCCATAATACAGAACCACCACAACAATGCTCACCGTGTCCTGGGAGGGATTGAGGTCCTTGGAAGAAAGCTGCTGTGTCCAGAGTGCTTTTGTTATCCCCATCTGATGCCCTGTCAGTCAACAGAGAGGATGGAGTGTGGTTGAAGATCGTGTAAATTCCATTTCACCACCACCAATTCCTTTTATCCTGACTCACCCACCAGCTTTCAGCTCCAAACCCAACAGGGTATTGCCTCACCCAAGCACTATCCTGACAACAGCACAGCTTAAAAAGTGGTGGTTGTATTTTCTCCCCATTCCCCAGTCCTGAAAACAGGTTCTCTTTGAGCTCCAACTCTACCAATCCCTGGATAATGGAGAACAATTGAAATAGTACTTACTGAAACCCAAGTTTGGGGAAAAGGGAGAAGTTCAACAATGGGTCAGCCAATATCCCAGAGGAATTCCAAAAGAAAGGTTACAGAGATTAATTCCTCCCCTATCAAAGCACAAGCAGGAGAAGTGGGAACACTGTGCCCGGAGTTCTGTGTGTTTTGTCTGTGGGGAGTCACCAATCTGCCCTGGTCCGTGAGTTCTCCTAAACATAAAGGATTTAAGTGAACTAAAACTCAAGGTGAAACTCCAAGTTATGTGCCTGAAGTCATGCAAAAAAGTACTACATCTCCTCCTGAATGATCCTCCAATTCCACATCACGGAAAGCACCTGAAAACCCCTCATATTTCACACGGTTTCAGGTCCACCCAAAGTTTCAAAGAAGACTCGATTCACAATGAAAGCTCCAAGAACTTCCCTCTGATTTCAGATAAATCTAACCTGTTTTGGTGATGTAATTTTTTAAGATCTGATATTTTGAAATATATCAGTTACTAAGAGATGGAGTTATGTGAACCCATTAACCTAAAAGGCTGCTACAAAAAAAAAATTCTGGTCAACATTTAATGGTTTTTTAAACTTCACTTGAAATATAATAGAATCATTGCATGAAAAATATGGTGTCTCTCAATGAACTCTTTCTTTCTTTTTTTTTTCTGAAAAAGCCAGTGAAAATAATACCTGTTGAGGCTGTTCAATTAGAGCCTAAACTGCTGAACCCAAATTCAACTTCAGAAACACGCAGAAAGGTTGGGGACATTTTGGGAATCTGACCTGGCAGGAAAAGTAGAAAATTAAATTAAAGTTAGATATCCATGAGACTAAAAGCACAGCTAGAATGAACTGTATTTCGATAGGAAAGGAGTGCTAAGGTCACCTGTAAAGGAGAGACTGTAAATCAGAGACTGGGGGCCTGCAGCCCACAGATCTTTTCCCATCTCCTCCAGGAATTCACTGTGGACTATTTTCAGTTCTTCCCTACAGAAAAAACAACACAAATTGATAACATAACTATTGCACCTAAGAAAGGAGTTGGGACTCTGAGCCTTAATTAATGTTTGTAAAGAGCCCTGAGAGACTACAGGGACCTGAAGAACCTCAAAGCACAGTCATTCCTAAACATCCCCTGACCTCTTGTCAGACTTCACCCTTCTCACCAGCACTTACTTCTTTTTAAAGAGAGGGTGGAATTATTTAAAAGATAAAACAAAGATACGTTTCCCTGGTTTTCTAGTACTACAGTTGACACAATTTAAAAAAAAAAAATAAATTAACACATGAAGGCTTATTTCTCGCATTAAATAAATACATGTCTCAGGCACTGCAAAGGTAGGACACTGAAATATTCCCTCCAGCTGGTTGGTGGGTGCAAGGCACCATTCCCTGCCCAGGGAGAGGCAGGAGCTGGCTCAGCACCAGGCAGAGGAATCCCGGCTCAGCCGTGCTGACAGTGGGGAGGATCCAACAGCCCTGCCCCTGCTCCCAGCCCTGCTCCACGTGCTCCCTGGTTTGGGCAAACCTCTCCATCTCTGCTCCTTCTCCTGCCTGCCTGATGCACTCAGACTGGGGACAGGGAGTCTCCCCTCGCAGGGTGACTCCAGGATGCCGGGACATTTATTTAGGTGTTGCTGTCAAAGCAATAACAGGCCTGGGCACCTCGACCCGAGCCCGTCACAGCGACTCCTGCTCAGCTGCTCCACTGGTGCTGAGAGCAGACTAAACACCACAGAGCCACACATCCAGGGGGATGTGACAGACAGAATGAGTGTCAGGAGGCGAGGGAGACACAGCAGCCTCCGAGGACTCACATTTGGCCCATCAGACGCTGCTCAGTCTCTGCGTGCCAGGAATAGCAGCAGGAGCAGGCGCAGCAGCTCCCGGTGCCATCCACACTTCTGCATCACTTCACGCTGCACTGCAGGCTCTGCTGCACCCTAAACCCAGAGCTGCTGGTTTCTATAATGCAAAGGGACAGCAGAACATTTTAATGAGACGGAAAATGGTGAAAACAAACAGAAAAATCCGAATATCGTACTTACTGTGATAATAAGTAACATTAGCAGGTTACTTAACTTATTGTGATAATATAAAACACTAACAGGTTATCTAACTTGCTATGATAATAAATAACATTAATTAGGATTTTTCAAGTGTAATAATAACCTTTCCAAGTTGATTTTACTAATAAAAATACTGTTAGATTACAGACATTGCCAATTTTAACTCTGTAGAACCAATGAATGGCTGTCAGCACAAAGGCAGTCCATCAGAAATATTTCTTCACAAAGATTTCTCCACTTGCAATTCCAACATGACTGTCCCTGAACAACTCACACAAGACCAGTTCCTCTGTCTTTACAACACTCTTTATGAGGAACAAGGACCTCTATTTTGTAGGCAGGGAATAAAACCAAAGAAAAATAAGTGACTCATCCAAGACCCCACAGGGAGTCCAGGGTACAACTTCAGGGTCTGCACCAATGGTTTAATAAAGAAAAATAAATTGTTTCACTCTAAGGGTAGAGGCTTTGCCCCATTAATAATAAAACAGGACAAGCCCCAGGAGCTGTACACAAACCAGAATCCCTCGCAGTGGAGACAATATTAAAATGGCAAAGCTAATTCACCTGGTGTCTCGAAGAAATCCCGCCTTGTGTTTCCCAGGAACAACTTCCACCAGCCACCAGAGTAAACACCAATTCCCTGGGACCAAACAGAACCATGATCCCAACCCTGGTGCACAGAGAAACCCCTCCCAACCCAACCTACACCTGGGATGGTTCAGTAACAGCCCCTAATTCTCATTATCTGACCCACACAGGTGGTCTCCTGCTTCCTTCTCCAACTGATTGTCCACATGGACCCAACTGCAGCAGCAGGTCCCAAGTGACCATTTGATCACTTTCTTGCTTAATTGCCATTTTTAATTACTTGCGTGGCAACAACAAAAAGCCAATCTAGCAACGGAAATCCATTCCTTGAACAACTTCTGCCTCTTTCCTCAGACACCAACTATTGCTCCATAAGCCATTCCTGATTAACGTGGGGCCCTCGTGGGAAAGCCACTGCCTGTCTACTGATTTCATTTCCTACCACTTCTCTCCTCCAACTGACAACCCAAGTCCCCAAAAAGCAAGGGCAAAAGATCCTTCATTTCATTGTTACAAGATGACAGTGTTTTTCCCCCTGCTATTTTCTTTCAGGAAGATATATTAGCACCGCATTTGCTCCTCCATGTGGTGGGATTTCTTAAATAAAAACGTATGTTACATACGTATGAACTCGGGACCGGAGCTGCATTAGCCTGTTAACCATCCACGTTTGCTTCAGACTTGGCCAGCCACCTAGAAAACCTGCCAAGACCTTTCTGGCAGCCTTTTCCCAACAGTTCCAGGAAAACATGGAATATTCAAAGAATTTGAGGGCCTCCCTGCTTCGTTTGTCACCACTCTCCTTTGCCCACTTAAAACCAAATCACAGGCAAATTGCTCTAATGCCCCATTAAAGATTTAAAAGTGGTCTTCTCCAGAGCAGGGTATCTGAGGACAGAGCTGGGCTAATATATAATGCAAAACCCTCGTTCAGATGTGATGCAATGTGGCACCAGGCAGCGAGGGAGCTGCTTTACAAACTTGGAGCTTCTCGAGTGAATTCCGTCCTTCTTGGAGCTTCTAAAGCTCCCTCGGACACCCAGGGAAAGGAGAGACTCGTTTTGTCCTTGTTGTTACTCCAGCAATGCTTCCAATTGACAGAGGGGAGGTTTAGATGGGATATTGGGAAGAAATTCTCCCCTGGGAGGGTGGGGAAGCCCCGGCACAGGTTGGGTAGAGGGCCCTTGTGGATTTATTAGATGCTGTAATAAACTAAATATCAAAATAAATAGTGTATTATAAATATATTTATAATATCACGCACCATAAACTATATATTATTATGTTATATATTCCTAAAAATAAAAATAAATATAATATTGCTGATCAGTAACTTCCACCCTAAAACCTACAAACAGACCTGATTCACAGTCTAACTACATTATTACCAACATAGTAAGTAATGGGCACTGACTGTATTTTGTCCACTAACACCTCCTCTAGTTTAACTTCTCATTCACTAATTATTCCCACATTCAAATGAGGGGAAGCACGTGACTGAACTATCTTAGGGCTCTTATAAAATAAGTTCTTTCACATTTCAAAAGCCACTTTCTAAAATCAACTCAAACCACAAGATCTGGAGCAGACAGCAATCGAGTCTTGCCTTCTTCCCTTCCCATTTCCTTCCTGTTTTTCCTTCTCTTCCTCTTTCTTTTTTTAAAATCCCATCCTCCCAATCCAACAACCTCCTTTATGAAAGGAAATGGGAAGCCAAGGGGAAGCTGTGGCAGCTGACAGGCTGCAAACACCACTATTGCAAACCACTCTCTGATGCCACAACTGCTATTTGTTGTCAGAGGAGATGAGAGGCCACTTCAAACAGAAGAAAAACAAACTTTTCAATAAACCCACCCCAGTGCCATTAATCCCAGAATGGGTTTGACCTGCTGTTTACAGCAATTCCTTAAATCTCACTTAAGCCAAGGAATACAAAGGGCCTGCCTACACTCTGCAGGGGCTGCAGTGACCCCAAATCCAGCACCAAGCACAGATCTCCAGCCAGGATCCTCTGGGAGTGAAGATCAGCTCTGACCTCACACTGGACAGTGGGTGTGAAGGCAGAGCCAGGTGTGACCCCCCTCACTGCTTCTGGGACTTTTATTACTCCTGGCAATACCAGGGTTCCAAGAAATGGGGAGGGAAAAGGTCACAGCATATGTTTAGATGCAGCCCTCAATCCAACTGACCTGGCTTTTGTACCCAGCCCTCCAATAACACACTGCCTGGCCTTGGGTAAATCACTCACCATCCTCTGCTTTCCTTTCTGGACAGGGGACACTCAATCCTTTCACCACTGGAAAGGAGTTATTCAGTGCTCCACGCTCTTGAATAACTATTATTAACACTGCAGTATTGCAGGTTTTCAATATATGAACCCAAGTGAAGGACAAACATCTATCAACCCTTCCCTTTTCTTTGCCAGTGGCAAACTATGTGCTTAATCCTGTGCAGGGGACATATATAGACTGGGCCAGAATCCAGCCTTCTCCAACATACCTCCTCTAATAGTGACAAGTATTAGCAGCTTGGGACAGGCCAGAGCTGTCCTTCCCACTGTTTTTTCCCTGGGCTTGAAGTGCTGCACCTCATCCTAAACCTTGAAACATCAACTCCAAACTCCATTCTAAAGTTTGCATAATGAATTACCATAATTCTATGGACAGTTATTAAAGACACAAGTATCTAATCTGTTCTAGACTTGCAAACTTCCCATTAACTTCTAAAAGCAATTAGGCTCCTTTCCTAATTAAATACTGGTGGGAAAGAATTGCTTTATAAAACATTTTCAATTTGTCACCATTTAATTTCACTGCATGTCTCCTTGCACTCACTTTGTGAGATTCTCAGTCTTCCCTTTCATTTTAACATCCATTTGGTTTTCCTTTCTAATGGGAACATTTCCCTGTAGCAGTTTCAGATTTCTCCCTGCTTTGGACCCTTTTTGCTGGCACTTTTTGGAGCTACTCTTTGTCTTCTCAGATTGGGTAGAACAGCTGCTGTGCTCTGTCTTTGGGCCCAAAAAAATATAGACAGTACTCAGAGGATTTTCACATTAGTGTTGAGCAGGGGTTTATCCACTCCAATTTTATAACAGGAGCAAGGCCTTAAATGTTCATAAAAACTTGCATTCATGGCTTGAGTTATATCTCCACTCCATCTAGGAATAACAAGGTCCACTCACCCATCAAGAAGTCAATGAGTAAACAAAATAAAAAGAATAAATCTGTCTTTCCTGACCATTTGCCTGCCTGGTTGTGGCTATTCTGGACATCAACAGTTGCAAGAATTAAAAAAAAAATGCCCCATTCACAAAAATACTCTCACACTACAATCCTTGGGCACGACATTAATGCATCACTGTTAATTATAAATGACTTGAGCCTGACTTTCGGTTAATACATCATGAGAGCCATAATGAAATCTGTGAGCTGTGTGTCACACCTGGAACAGGGACAAGATGAGGGAAATCACGGGCTTGTCCTTAGAGGAAGGAAAAGTGGCAGCAGGGTGAGTCAAAGCTGATGCAAATCCCTCCTCACTGACCCAACAGAGAGCCCTGAACCCCAACACGAAGCTGCCCTGACATGGGAACCTTCCAGATGATCTTTGAGGTCCCTTCCAACCCAAACCACTTATAATGGAGAGAGAGAGAGAGAGAGATCCAGCTACAACAACTCCAGCTACGACTGCTGCATGGAAAAAGAGAGACACTGCTGCCCTGAACCTGGAAAGGATCTTTCCTTCTTCCCTTCTGGACTTTTATTGGAGGGAAAAGAGACTTGATCCAATGTAAATATTGCTTTACCATAGGAGAGATAGTTGAGATCGTGTATATAATGTATTATAATATTTATTTGTGTAATAATTGTAATATAATTCCCTTCCCCCCATATTGAGTCTTGTGTTGTGTCTGGAAAACCCCTCTCACACCGGGGTGAGCTGTGGGAGGGGGGCTTGGACTTGGAAATTGGATTTTTGGGGGTCTCAAACCACCACACCACTCTATGATTCTATAAGGATACAGGTGGAAAACAGAAATTATAGACTCAGTATTAGCTATGCCCACACTGCTCCCCAACAGGACTCTTCCAAGGGGTCTCGAGTGCAGGTGATGGGAAGGAGGAGCCACTGCACAGAACACAGAAGAATTTCAATTTCTTTCCATATCTGCCCCAGAAACCTGATTCTCGAACTTATTTAACCAAGAAACAGGGCCATGACATTGCACAAAGAGGCTAATTTCACCCTATAGCCTGTACAAATTATTTGCTGGGGGAGAATACATTTTATATTTTGAATATA